GGGGAGATCAAACTCTTCTAGGTGGGTGTGGCTCTCCGAATGGGACAGTGCTGTAACAGACAGATGCCGGCAGATGCAGTCGGAGGCTATAACACTCCCTGGGAGCTACACGGGCAAAGACTGTTGCCAGAAGCAGAGGTAGCAGGAGCAAAAGTGGGTGCTGGGAAAACCCAAGGCACCTTGTGTGCTGTCTAGCTTAGCTGGAGGACAGGCCTGCACGGGGCAGAGGGGAAAAGGGCTGGCAGGAAAGGTTTGGGGAGGCCTCGGTTGCTACAAGGCTTCACCTTGACATGGGGAGACGTGATGTGCCTTTGGAAATTTTTGATTTGGGAACGGGTTTCTCATGAAACATCTCTCACAAAGTACTTGTCATAGTACCTGGCTTATAGAAAGTGTTCAGTCAATGTTGCTCTTCGTTTTAAGTCATGAAGGATGATGACAGAGTCTTGGAGGTGATAGTAGGTGGTCGGTGTCACATGGTAAGAGTAGACGAAGGTGTTAAAAGCATTTCCATCTTGAGATACAATCTACATATAATTGCACTTAAGTTTATTTCCTCTTGGAGAATTGTATATGCATACCTTCCCCCTTCTATACTCCGCTTTCCTGTCTCATTCACAGGAAAGATACAGTAATCATGGGAAAAAGCAATATAGCATAGGGGTTAAAGGTCTGGGTTTGGGGGTCAGGTAGACTTGGGTTCTAGTCCTGGATCCTCAGAGGCCTGGGTTCTGGAGTCAGGGAGCGTTGGGTTTTAATCCCAGTTCCTATGTGTCTTGGCATTAGTCATTTGTAAATTGGTAGTCATGGTTCCTATAGCTCCCACCTAAGTGAAGCTTAGTAAATTCACTCTAGGACAGACCATTTGAATCTTCTTCAGCAGTGTAGAACACAGTTGGTTTCTCTCTCTTATTGCTTTTTACATGAAAACATTTCTTTTCATTTCAAGTTGAATTCTGACCCCTAGGATCCTATAGGACAGGGAACTGGCCCACAGGTTTCCACGGCTGTAATCTCTACAGCAGCAGACTGCTGTATCGTTCTCCCTCAGAGCCATAGTGAGTGGTCAGCAGTCAGGTGCTTAACCCCTGGACCACCAAGGCTTCTTCCTCACGCACACAGAAGAGTATAAAAAGCTTCTGTGTAAACTTCCAGTCCTAATCAGAAAGTGCCACTAGGCGTGAGAACTAGCACGCTGCCAGTACTTCAGAAGCCCGAATGCCCTCTTGAATCATGCCCTCTCCCTTCCCTACCCTGACTTTGTATCACTCCTTGCTTTTTAAAAAAGTGGTTTGGCCATCTGCCAATCTGTCTGTACCCCCACCACGAATGCCTTATTTAGCTTTGGCTGTTTTGAACTTTATAAATGGAATACTTTGAGTTTTATGTAAATGAAATCATACCACATATTGCTTTTAGGAACTTACGGTTCGGCTTTGTTGGTGGGCTTCTTCCATGCTATTGCATGTAGCTCTGGCTTATTTCAAAGGTGTATACGAGGGGCTTCCAAAAGGGAACTGAGGCTGGATGCAGGGAAGGCCCCCGATCGTCATAGTTGTCTGTTGACTGCATGTGCACAGATTAACCCTCCTGTTTCGTTCTGTAATTGTGAACAGTGCTGCTGTGAGTGTCCTCGTCCTTCTGTCCTGGTGCACGGTGCGAGTGAGCGTTTCTCCAAGGTATCTATGTACCAGGAGTGGAGTTGCTGGATCACACTGCGTGCACAGCAGGGAGTGCTGCGAGCACTTTCTGTGGTGTCCGGTGTTCTGCTGGCTTCTCTATTGCTTTCCTTTTCCAACCCGCAAATGGTGAGCTCTTCTGACTCGGTACCCTGCCAGAGGGATCGCATTTATTTTTCTAGGTCTGACCTCTCCGTATATCCAAGTGCCCCCTTCACCCCGACACTGGTGTGTCTCAAAGGCGTCTCAGGCCTGACCTCTCCATGTCCGAATTCATGCTTTTTTACCGTCTCTCATCCCTTTCCAACCGGATCTTCTTTTGGTTTTGTGTATTTCCACCATCTATTTTATTATTCAAGTCATAAATGTAGGGATCATTCTTGATACCTCTGATTAACTTTCATATTCTGTCACCAAATTTAGCTCAGTTTATCTCCGAAGTAACCTCTCCTTCTGCTCCCACTTTCCTATCCCCAGAACCATCATCGTTTGCCTGGAAGAACCGCTTTCGACCAGTCTCGGCATTCAGCTTCCGTTATCTCTTGCTTATTCTCCCCGTGACTGTTAAAAGGATGAAAGCACAGTCAAGCAAAAGCACCCCGTTTCCACAGTCCTCTTCACTGGCTTCCGTTGGGTTCAGGATAAGGGCAAGGCGCTGCCTGCTGCACCAGATGTCCAGTGCCTACCACCTCCACCTCTGTGCTGCGGCTGTTCAAACATTTGGCTTCTTACCCCCAGTTCTCTACTTCGCATATACTGCTCTCTCAGAGCAATGCCTGTGTCCATCTTCCCGCTCCTCCGATTTGACTCCCTGTCACTCATTAGATCCAAGATCTCATCCCTTCTCCAGAGATACCTTTCCCAACCCCCCTGACCAGGCCAGGCACCCTCACTCGGTGTGCGTGCCCTTGACAACCTGGGCCTTTCTTCATGATCTGTGTCATGGCGTGTATCTAAAGATTTTGGGAGATTTTTGGTTAATTTGTATCTTCATGTGTTAGGGTAGGGTCTCAGTACTTATTAGCTCAATAAGTGAATATTGACTGAACATACATAAAATACTTAGCACTTCTCCCAGTGTCTGGCACGTAGAAAATATACAAGAAATGGTAGCTATTATTAGGATCCCTCCTGTCTTTATTATTCTTATAGGGTCCTGCCCAGTGTGCCCTTGGCTTTTTGCACTTCTCTTTGAAAGTCTTTCTGAGGATTTTTCCTGGCAGTGCTAGTAGAATGAGGACATCAGTGGGCAGACATTACTCATTCATTTCTCATTCAGAAACTTGATAAGCAGCATTTTGCATATATTTTCATTTAGATCTGTGAGGTGGGTACCCTAATCTCCTTTTTACAGTTGAGGAAACTGAGCACAGAAAGGTTAAGGCCCAAGGTCACCCAGTTAGGAAGGAGTGGGACTTGTACCAGTCTGCCGCCCTCTTTTAGTCTTGGTGCTCTGGAGTCCAAGACAGTCTGGAGTGGTCAGCGCAGTGAGCTAATGAAGGGTCCTTGTCTAAGGGTCACTGTAGTCCAGAGGGAGAAGGGGAGGTGAGTAACGGAGGCAGGCTCAGAGGTGGGGCGCTGGGTCCGGGCGGGGTAAGTGGAGAAGAGTGGGCAGAGGCACCCCGGCAGAGGACCTTCCTCCCTAGTGTGGGGGGAAGGGGGACTTTATAAAACGCGAGTGGATTTCGAGGTAACTTAGCTTCTCCTATCTTGGTGTCTCCCAGATTGTTCTGTGCCAAAATAATATACGGAACCAGGCCCATATGAACAGGGTGGTCACTCACGAGCTCATTCATGCCTTTGACCACTGTCGTGCACATGTCGACTGGTTCACCAACGTCAGGCACCTGGCCTGCTCCGAGGTGAGTTTTAGTACAGAAGGAACATTTTTTTCTTTCCATTTTTAGCTAGTGACTTTGTGTTCAAACGCTTTGCTCCCAACAAAGTTTCTTTGAGCTTTTAACTTTTCCGTCATAGTTTCACTGTAGTCTTGAATTCCTGTTTTTTAACTATCACGGAATATAATTTTCTGAGATTCCAGCTGGAGGGATTTTAAGTATTTTTTTAGGGTGACCTAAACAATGGCATTGGGAACCTGTGGCGCGGTGCTCATCCTCCGGGGTTGCTCTGAGTTGCAATCAACTTCAGTGGCGACAGGTGTATAATATGAGGGGAATTTGGAAAATTTGGGGAAAAATTGTCTAATTCTATTTTTTTCCATGAACATTTTGAAATCCCTTTATATAAATATAATAAAAATAGTTAATATTTATGGAAGGGTTTTTGCCACATACTTTTAACTATTCGTATGGATTCTTATTTAGTCTTCCCAGCAACCACTGGGGAACCATTGCAGTTCCCATTTTATGTATGTGGGAAGTGAGGCAGTTGTTCCCTGTTTGAAGTACTAGAGTTAGCAGTTAACTGGAGGAGCAGTTTGTACGGACGCCAGGCAGGATTACAATCAAGGCTCTTGACTGATTTGCTGTGCTGCCTTCCATAGTTGTGAGGCTGCTTGCTGGTCCTGGTATAAAACATTGAATATACTCATCTTAAATGGGTCTCAAAACTACAACATAAAAAAATGTTTATTATTATTCAGTGCTTTGAATTGTTCTCAGAAGTACACACCACACACACAACACACCTGAATATGCATCTTGGGAGACATGTATTTCACACTTGGCTTCCATTAATTGAATGCAGTATGAAGAGAAGTTCAAAAAACAAACCCCCAAACCCCCCACCAATATGAATCTCATACTTCATAACTTAGATTATTTTCCCTTTCCCTCGAAATTAATAAGTGGCCCCAGTACATCTAATTATAATTCAAATTATTTGGAGGATACACTAAACTTGAATTTTTAAGTAGGCTTCTCTCTCAGGTATTTTGAAAATTAATGCCTGTTAGCTATTCAAAGTATGTTAAGCGCCCTGAGTTCCTTAAAACAACGAGGTCATGTTATTGCAGCAGTAACAAGTGGGCCTTGGCAAAAATATGGCCAACTTGACTAGAATTTATGAGTGTGGTGAGCTCTAAGACTTTTTTATTTATTAAAGTTGCTTTTTTCCTTTAAAGATACAGCTAATTAGGAAATATATTCCGACTTTAAGATGTCAGATGCTTAGCATTTAGAATGCTTTCGTTTTTGTGTGTGAGAACTGTTTTGTCCTACTAAGTTTTCATAGTGCGTTCAAGCCCTTGGGGAAGGTCATGAAGTTGCGTGGGTTCGAGGGCAGGGCATAGTTCCGAAGCTCTGCACTGGGTTCTGGGAGAGCCTGTGCTCGACACTGATGTGTTCAGGTTACAAGCTCACATTGACACGCAGGGTGGAGATTTTTGGGAGAATACTGTCTTGAAGCTCTTTCTGTAATTTCTGGCAGAGTGTGTGTCCCCTGAAGAGCATAGGCCTTAATTCTGAGCTCAAACTCTGTGACTTTTGGTGTCAAAAGAAATTAGTTCTGCCAGGAAGGTTACAGTTTAAAATTCATAAACCCCCTCTGGTGGATAATTAAGCTTTCTCCCCCACCCTAGTGTGTTTGGCATTGTCTAATATAGCTCATAGGTATTTGTTACTTTTTCTTAATTTAAAGACTTCCTGAGTCAATAGACTTCTAAAATGAAAGCAAAACAAAACCAAAACCAAAAAACTCTCTTTGAAAAACACTGGTTATATAAATCCTTTCCCAATTAAAAAAATGTTAGCTATTATAAAGATATAAGACATGGAAATTTATTGTAATTTGTTTTATGTTTTATAGATTCGAGCTGCTAACCTCAGTGGAGACTGCTCACTTATAAATGAAATATTCAGATTACATTTTGGACTAAAACAACACCATCAGGTAACAAAATAACCTTTGAAACTACCTGCTCTGAAGAGTGTTATGAGTGGAAATAATGGATGCAGATTGAGGAGCACACTTAGTATTTAAAATTCGAAAGAACTACCTCTATGAGAAGAATTTAAAATATACAGATGCCTCCTGTTTTTAGCTGGGTTCTCTAGGGGAGCAAAACTAGTGAAGTTTATATATATGGAGGGGGAAAAATGGAATACAAACCAATGTGCATATATGTATTTTAAAAATGTGTATAGTATATATACATTTAGACATACATGCACATATAATATATGTGTATGATATATATGTATATATTTTACCATATAACATTAAAACAAACACCCTGCCATTGAGTGAATTCTGACTCAAGTGAGCCAGCGGGACAGGTGTAGAACTGCCTTTGGGTTTCTAAGACTGTAGCTCTTCTTGGGCGTTGGAAACCTCATCTTTCTTTCTCTCACAGAGCGGCTGGCAGTTTGAACTTTGAGGTTAGCACCCAACACACGTAGCCCACTATGCCACCCGACGAGCTCCATTATTTACCATCTAGTTAGCTGTAAAAACCAAAAAACCAAACTCACTGCCACTAAGTCGATACTGACTCTTAGTGACCCCACTGTGGGGTTCTGACACTGTAACTGTCACGGGAGTAGAAAGCCCGGTCTTTCTCTTGAGGAATGGCTGGCGGTTTTGAACTGCCAACTATACAGATGTAGCCCAATGAGTAATCACTATACTTTCAGAACTCCTAAATACACACACACACACACACACACACACACACACACACACCTGTATAGGGGTTCTAGGGTGTTGCTAGGTAAGCTTTGGATTGCTAATGTTAAGGTCAGTGGTTCAAATCCACTAGCCAATTCAAGGGAGAAAGATGAAGGTATTGGCTTTTATCAAGATTTGTAGCCTTAGTAACCCTCTGGGGTTGCGCTGTGTTGGAATTGACTTGATGGCAAGGAGTTTTTTTTCCCCCCAATACATATATATATATATATAGAGAGAGGGGAAGGGGACAAGGTAGGGAAAGTGAGAGAAAGAAATAGAGTGAAAGTGTGAGAGCAATTTTTTTCAAGGAAATGGCTCACACAATTGTAGAGGCGAGTACTTTCCAAGTCCAGAGGCCACATTGTCAGACCGGAAGCGACTCATTCCGTCTGCAGCGACAGTGGTTGACAAAGCCAAGATTGAGAGGTCATATGGCAGGCTGCTGGCTGCAAAGGCAAATGAGTCCAATGTCAGCGTGTGAGTTGGCAAGTTACTGACTCAGGCCGCAGAGGCTAATAACTCCAGTGTTGACAGGCAGTGAAACAAGACTGCTGGCTCAAGTCCAAAGAACCAGATGTTAGGTGGTGATAGGTGCAGAATCTAGATCTTGATGAAAAACAAAAGGGCTTTTACCATGCTTTGGAAGTAGTCCACAAGGAAATTCCCTTTCATTTGATTGGCTGCTATTAGTCAACCTTATCATAAGAGTGATTACATTATATCAAATCTCATCATGGCGCAGCCAAGATGACCATAGCCTTACCCATCACACCTCCTAATTCAAATAAGTGGAATTTAACATTACTTTATAGTAAAGCTCTGTGACTGACAGATTTTAATAATAAAAAGATCTGTGATGTTACTCTGAGATACTTTTGAGTGGAGGTGGATAAGGAATGAAATTGGCGTCTGCCTTCTGTCTGAATAGTCCTGAGCTTCTGTTTTTAAACTACCATAGATAGGGTTTCAGAGAGACAGAAAGAATAATACCTTCAGTGTGAGACCGCATTGCAACACAAGGTAAAGTTATAGATAAGAGTATGGCGCGATAGAGAAAGTTTTGGATTGTCACAAACTTAATTATGATGAACTGAATCGAGAGGGATTTTGTAAACAAAATGAAACCAACCAACCAAACAAAAAAAAAACATGACCAAGATGATCTAGTTAAAAAGCCTTTATGCGCCATCATAGATGGACGTGGGGGAAAGAAAGTGTAGAACAGGTAGATTAATAATGAATATGAGCAGTTCTTCCCAGAGCCACACTGTGTCCTCTTTGTCCACACTCAGGAAAGGCTGGTCAGAGAGAAGTCATGGGAGAAGCTCTCTGGGTCAGTTCGTGAGGTGTATTGGCATCAGGAGAGCAGGTTCAACTAGACTCAAAAAGACTAGACCTGGAACAGCAACAGCAAGGCCCTTGGTTCTCCAGAGAAGGACATAGCTCACCCCTGGCAACTAGTGGGAGTAATTGTGCCCTTTGTGTGTGGAAGGTAGAAGATAGACCTGCTGCTTAGAGAGGATTATTCCAATAGGACTGGTAATGCTTTCAGCTTGGGCCAGGTCAACCTACTGGTTTGCCACTGACCTTGTTTTGTGCTCCACGTCTTTAATCCCTGATTCTTTGGTAAATTTAGGTTGGGTTGAATGTGAATGGGCCATGTGTTCTGCTTATCAGTGGAGAGGGTGGAAGCAGGATGCAAATCCACATACCCTTAGGAAGATAGTGGCGTTAAAGCGTGTGCTTCAAGATCTATCCTCTTTGAAGAAAAGTTTGTCCTAGTCTACCTTTGGGCAGAACATGAATAGAAGTACAACAGGGTAGATGGTAAATGGAGAGGTAGGAGCTTGAGTCTTAGAGAATCGAGTAGCTACTTTTTTTTAATAGCTGTTATCTACAGTTGTAAACCACCAGCTGCTTCTCGGGAGAAAGATGGGGCTTTCTACTGCCACACAGAGTTAGTTTCGGAAACTGGGAGACAGTTCTCCCCTGCCGTATATGGTCCCTCTGAGTCGGCATCCACTTGGTGGCAGGGAGTTTATTTTGTATTTTATTTTTTTACTCAGGAACAGCAAGTGCAGTACCTGATTTTACATGTGTACAGCCACACTTGGATTTTACCAGTTTTTTAGACATCTGGAGAGAAGTAGATCTGAATTTTGTGACACCCTGTGTTTCTTAAGGAGACATTTTGTCCCCGTCCCCCTTTTTTTTTAACCCTCCCTAGAGTGGAAGAATTTCTTTTCTTTCTGGCCATTGCCCCTAGGAAAATGATTTTCTTAGATGATAAACTGTAATTCCTATATAAAGAACATGTAGGAGAGAAAAATAACTCTGATAAAAAAGGCCTTTTTCAGTTTTACAAAATCATAGCACTTTCCAGGTTTGGGGTATATAGTTTCCTATTGCCCTCAGGGAACAGAGGTCCCCGCCACCCCCCGAGGAAAAATTGTCTAGCATTGATCACCTGAAAATTTAGAGATATGCAGAAGTATAGTATGTCTTAAGTTTAATAAAGTTTTATAAAACTTTTAGTCAGCATGTTTATGGAGTTTTTTGGTGCGATTTCACAAATTGGGAGTGCCTGCTTGTTGGTCAGACAATGACGTCTTGTTTATGTTACTTGAAAAGAAGAAAATGAAGGAGGTCTTGTTTAGGTGTAAATCATTTTCAGTTGAGCTAAGCATGTTCTGTAAAAGAGCAATTTTGTTTCTTTGTTCATCTGTAATGATGGGAATTAATTTTATGTAGTTCAGAGAGTATATAAAATGTTACTGGTTCCCAATTAAATTTTCTTTCTCCTTAGACTTGTGTGCGAGACCGAGCCATCCTTTCTATCCTGGCCGTTAGGAATGTCAGCAGAGAAGTAGCTCAGAAGGCTGTTGATGAAGTTTTTGAATCCTGCTTCAATGACCTTGAGCCTTTTGGAAGGATCCCTCACAGCAAAACTGATGCACAATACGCTCACAGAGACTTTCAGAATCGCCATCGGTATTATTCTAATATATGAAGGCAATGACATTTAATATTACAGAACTTCAGCGGTCGTGAAGAAATTTTGGTTTTATTTTCTGTTTTTTGAAATTACAGTTTTCAAATGGACAAGCATATACAATATAAATCAGTTAAAGAAAATAGCACAAAGAATGGTGATTCTGGCATATGATTACAAAAAAGAACTGTGGCTGAAATGAAGCTGTCTTAAACTGTACGGCACAAAGCATTCTCTTGATAGCTGACTAGGTGGTAAATAATGGAACTCTGGTGGCATGGTGACGTTGAAGCCAAAGACGAGGTTTCCTACTCTCAAAGAGCTGCAGTCTTTGAAACCAACAGGGCCAGTTTTATCTGCCCTGTCTGTCCTGTTGACTCGCTATGAGTGAGAATGGCCTCGGTGGCTGTGTGTTTTGTTTTTATACAGTAATGAAGTAAATACATTTCATTTTTATATTTCCTATAGTGTACTTATTTAAAAAATATTTGTGTGGGTATGTTTATTATATGATTATTTTAAAGCTTAGATAGAAAACCTGTGAAGTGTACCCTTGTATGGTGTCAATAGGTGGGCCATTATGCATATTTGCCTCCCAGAGGTTAAATGTAAAGAAAACCATACTGGTCTTACTATAAGACATTCATTGAGCTACTACCGTAATCAAAACACTCAAAGAATGAAAGCTGGGAACAGCCCATTCATAATACTGATATGATCAGTATTCCCATTCCTTACTCTTTTCCTAAATATATATGGGAACCAAATGGCCTAACGTTCTGGGGAAAGTCTTGATTAGATTTTTAAAAGGCAATACATTAAATGTGTAGTGCATAGGTTCCCAAAATTATTTGGCCTACCTCCCCTTTTCAGGAAAAAAAGAAAAAAGTATCCCCTGGCTATAAAACATTTTTGGAGGATAGCCCATAATCCAGGATTTAGTGTAGGTGCATGCTTTTGCAGCACTGCCCCCATTGTTCCAGGGCCTCCCAGGGGGTGGTATCAACCTGGCATAATCTAGCATCATTAATTTTATTTATTTATAAGATTTTAAAAATTTATTTATTTTTGATATAATGCATTCTTCAATTTTTTCAGGGCCTGTGTCTGAATTTTAGATTCAGAAAATCTTATCTATATTGGTCGTTTATCAGGTAGCTCCGCCTTCTACATATATCTGATTCTTTCCCTTGTTTACAGACACAGATGGTGATGTGATGGTGATTAGGGCTTTACAGTGTACTTAAGGGAATTCTTTCTTGTGTGTTAAAATCTGAGCATATATGAATCAATGTGGAACCTCATGTCTAAAAGATTATGAAATATCAAAAACCAGGTTTGTATGCAGTACTGTTAAGATTGTGTTGAAAATGGTGTGTAATGTAGTTTTGGAAACGAATGTACGGGAGCTCCTCGTGATTGCTCACTAGTGTGAGCAAAAAGACCACTGACAGGAATCAATTAAAAAGAAAAAGGTGTAAAAATTTTATAGTAGACAGCAAAAAAAAAAAAAAAAAGTTGGCTAGGACTGTAGCTTGAAAAAAAGAATAAAAAAGATAAAAATAAATGTTCCGTGTATAATTATACAGGCTAATATTTCAGCTATGTTATAATACTAAGAAATAGTGTGAAGGGGTTTAAAAAAGCTTGTGGAGAAATAGAATGAGATTTTTTCCATGAATTTTTTGAATACCCTTCATATTGGCCTAGTAGTTTTGAGAAAATCCTATTATGATATTATGCTAGCAGAATCCTGGTAATGTAATGGGCTGCAGTCTGCAAGGTCAGCAGTTCGAAACCACCATCTGCCCAAGGGAGAAAGATGGGATTTTCTACTCCCATAAAGAGTAACAGTCTCAGAACCCTGTTCTGAAGGGTCTTTTAAGAGTTGGCAATCGACTCGATGGCAGTGGGAATTATTACTATGCTGTACCTTATATTTGTGTGTAGTAGTCCCATCTTTCAAAACAAACTCTGCCATTGAGTTGCTGTTGACTCATAGTAACCATATAGGACAGAGTAGAACTGCCCCTGTGGCCCTCCGAGGCTGTAAATCTTTATGGGAGAAAGCCTCACCCTTTCCCTTTGGAGCAGCTGGTTGTTTTGAACTGCTGATCTTGTAATTAGCAGTCCAACATGTAATCAACCCTCTATGTGATCAGGGCTCCCTAGTCCCATCTTTAGGAGGTTTTTTAAAAAAAGAATTTATTTAAGAGGGTCATTTAAAAATATATATTTGAAAACCAATTTCCCTAAGTTTTTTCCCCTTCATATCTTGTTCTCCAACGCTTTTGTCTTTGAAATATTTTTTGGACAAGGCATTAATCTTGCCAGACTTCACCGTTGAGTAAATTACCTCCATGGAATATTATTTAGCTAATAAAAATACTGAATTCCCCAAATGGAATGTTGATATGAACAAGGTAAATAGTATTTAAATAATATACATTAATTGCATTAATGAATGTGAAGTGGTTGTGCATACATAATAGAAGCTGGGATGGAATGTAGAAAAAGGAAATAATTTTTGAGTTAGGGTTGGTGATTCCCCCCGCCCAAATGACTTTAAAAAAAAGTGAATTTCAAAACACAAGTCCAATTTGAGAAAATGTGGTGTTAAATAGTAAGTTAAAACATTTTAGAGCTTTGTCTTAGAAAAATATATTTGTTAATTAACAAAAAAATTGAAAATCCTAAAAATTAATTTAAAATGTAAAAAACAAAAGAGTTTTCCAACCACCCTTAATTTTTTTCTGTGCTTGAACCTGTCTGCTACCTCACTTGTAGGCAGTTTTTGACACATTGTTATAAATACTTTGGTTGTTTTAAAATCACATTTCTGTGTAGTGTACAATTTACTTTTAATTATTGTGCTGGTAAAATAGGCATTAGTCCTTGTATAGAATGTATTCTATCCAATGGGTACAGAGTAGAAATGTCATTTTGGTACAAATACTGATAACTTGGAAATAATGCTAGGAAATGATCTCTCACCAAATTAACAGACAGTGTGTCGGATGAAAAGCCGAGGTCCCTCTGTAGACTTCATCAGGGTTATACCTTGGACTTGGTGCTTCACTTCTCTTGGTTTTCTTATTTCTAAAAACTGATTGGACGGGTGATTCCAAAAGATCATTGCCTATCGCTTATTTCTAGTTCATAACACAAAGGGTTTTTTTTTAATCGTTTTATTAGGGGCTCATACAACTCATCACAATCCACACATACATCAATTGTGCAAAGCACATTTGTACATTCATTGCCCTCATCATTCTCAAAACGTTTGCTCTCCACTTAAGCCCCCGGCATCAGGTCCTCCTTTTTTTCAACACAAAGGTTTATCAGTCTATTACATGTTTTGGAAATACCAAATTATACTAATCATTTGCTTAATCCCATTTTATTGGCAAACGTATTCCTGTGGGACATTTCCACCATTCTGAACACCTAACTAGTGAGTACATTGGATTTCAAACCTAACTTCCCAAGTAGAGCATGTGATCCACGGTGACATCTATGGAGTCACCTGTGCTTACTCCCACGGTGACATGTACAGTGATATTGCAATTGCTTCACTTCTCGGCACCCCCAAGGAAACAATACATTCTTGATGGCAGGGACTTTGTCTTGCTTGTTTTGTAAACTCCAGAAAGGCCCCTTCAAACTCACTGCCATGAGTGGATTCCAACTGCATGTGACCCTACAGGACAGGGTAGAACTGCGCTTGTGAGTTTCTGAGACTGAACTCTGCAGGAACAGACAGCCTCGTTTTCTTTCATTGGAGTGTCTGATGGTTTCAAACTACTGACTGTGCAGTTAGCCCAAATCGTAACCCCTACACCACCGTGCTCCTTACTTTGTAAACCTAGCAGGTTAATGTAGTGCCTGGCTGATAGTGTTTGATTGATATTTGTTAAATGAACCGACACCCAAGAATAAGAATCAGAATCCCTTTTCTCAGGGTTTTTGACTAATGGCATTGTAGGTCCTTGCACGGGCTCCATTTATAATTGATGGGCAGTACGTGTGGATGATTAAGGGATAAAGTTCAGTAACTTCATGACTCAGAAGCAGTGAAATATATTATGTGTTGAAGCAATTCCTAGGCAGAGCTAGTTGATAATCTAGTTAAAATGTAACCGAAAGAAGACCAGGTATCTAATTTTCCCTGTGCACTAATAATAGCATTACGTTTTGGAAACTCTTAAGTATTACATTGTTAGTTATACTCTAAAGAAAAATGGAGAGGGAATTTCCAGAAAGACAGAGGCCTTGGGTTCTGTCCCATACCCATAACATTCTGGTCCATGACATTCTCTTCTGACCCCGTATGAGAATATACTGTTAACTCTCTTCCTCCAGGACATTATCAGATAAATGCTTGCAATGAAGAGGTTCCTAATGAATATAAATACATATTTAATGTATTTTCCCCCAAACCATTTTACTAGGAGCTGATCCATTCATCATACCATTCCATAGTTCAATCATATCAAGTACAATTGCTACCAGAAAGTTTCAAAGCATTTTCTTCCTTCTCGAACTCCTTGATATCAGCGCTCCCTTACCTCCCCACCTCCCCTGCCATACCCCCCCAGGAACCCTTATTCTAGTTATTGTCTCCATAGATTCACCTTATCCTGGGTTTCATACAGCAAAACTCATAGAAAAACATAACTGAGAGTCAAGAGGGCTACCAACAATGACAAACTACAACAGAGACAAACCCCAACTAAAAACACATAAAATATTAAAGACCAGATCAAGCACAAAGTGTATCAAAAGGGAGATCAGGTGATAAGGTTTTAACCATTCAGGTCAGATTGATCATTTTCATCTACTATAGTCGTCTCTCCAGTGCTCAATAGCCAGAGTATTCCCATCTCTCAATTATGGTTTTAGGGAAATAATTGGAGGCGTATTCCCTCTCTAAATCCTGCAAATGTATTTTGGGCTTCCGCCATCATCCATAGCCTTTTGCACACTAAATCTCACAATTTAAGCTGATACTGTATTCCCTCCTTTGGGGTTGGACGATATAATTTACAATCCTAGGATCACAGTGTTGGTGTGCTGCTTCCATGTGGGCTTCGTTGATGTCTCAGATGGCTGCTTGTTTGAGAACAAGCCTGTAAGACCCAGACG